GAGGCGCGCCGCTGCGGCTGCTGCGGCGAGCGCTGCAGCCCGCCGCCGCGCGGCGCGCCTCGCTGGCCGAGCTGCTGAGCGACGCCTGGCTGGCCGAGCCCGCGGCGCCCCCTCCCGGTCAGTGGCCGCCCTCCCGCAGGTGCCGGCCGAGCAGCGTCGCCGAGGCGCGCCTCCGTCTCAGGTACTAGGTGACTCTGAGTGGCCACTCTCAGAGCCGCCTCGTGCCTCAGCACGGCGGCGCGCCGCCCGCAGCCGAGCCGGCGCGCGCAGCGGCCGCGCGGGGCGCCGGCGCGCCGCTTTGGCGATTTAGCTCCATGACGTGCCCTTACTCATAAAGCTAGATTACCAAAGCACTGCGCTGGCGACCACCGCGCGGCGTCTCTCCGGCGTCGCCTCTCGCCGATCGTCAAGTGAAAAATTGGAATTTGTTTCTAATCGAACGTTCGGAGTTCGGTAACCCAACGACGAATCCCGTGTTTCGCGATGTCAGACTGTGTTACGTTCTTCTATCTTTTGTATCAGTTGTGTCTTGCTTGTTTCCGATTAAATAAATGTACGCCCCGCCTTTTTTTACGTAAACGTTTCTATTCGAAGAAATTATTGTAAAACATAGTATTAATTGTGAAATCCCATTTGTAATGAATTTCACACAGCGGGTGTCCACGCGTTCTCGCGTTCATTTGATAGCACAATTATCACACGTCGACCGATGCGGTCGTAACGCCTTTTTTATTTATTTACATCACACAATCTGCGCGCTAAGAACGTAAACGTGTGACCGCCTTCTGTTTGCGGAATTCCCGATTTCACGCCCGAACGTTGAGCCTCTTAACAATACACCAAGACCACGTCCAGTTGTGCGATTTCGCGCAAATAAACGTAACGACAGGTGCGCAAACTGTTGGCCACGAGAGTGTTGATCTCGCGCAGACTCTCGACGCGCGCAAACAGCGTGCGTGTTGCGAGCGAGCATATGAATTCGCGTATGGTGATTCGACAATTTTTAATTGCGATTATCATGTTTTTGGTGACATCGTTTGTTACTACTTACTACGAGTACGCACTCGTCGAAACTTCGATTTGAACCGGCCGTATGTATCACCACAACGTGCAGTACAAATGTACTTCGGTTAACGTGTTTGATTCCGGTGCGACCGCCAAGAATCGACGACACGAAATTTCACCTGTAAGAGCAAGCGGCGATGTGCAGGGGCGCGCGTGTGGGCGTCGCAGCCGGCGCGGGGCGCGCGCGACGAGGCGGACGGCGACGACGGCGACGGCGCGGCGCTGCGCCCCGAGGACATGGACGCGCTGCTGTGGCACTCGCAGCCCGCGCACGCCGACGACCTGCTGCTGGCCACGCAGGAGCCCGAGCCCGCCGGCGCCGCGGCCGACGCCGCCCGTCTGCGGGGCGCGGTGTGCGCGCGCGTCGTGCGCCGCCTGTCGCGCGTGTGGGTGCGCTGCGACGAGCGAGAGGCGCTGCGCGCGCTGCAGGACGCGCTGCGCCAGCACCGCTACGACTTCCGCCGCCTCGACAAGCGCACCGTAAGTGCGTGCGTTCGCGCGAGCGCGCTGCGAGTCCTCGCTCACGGCCGTTCGCTGTCGTAGCTGGCGATCGAGTGCGGCGACGAGCTGCGCATGCGCGCCTGGGTGTGGCGCGCCGGCGGGGCCGCGGCGGCGGGCCAGGGCGGCGTGGTGGTGGAGTTCCGGCGCTCGCGCGGCTGCGGGTTGGAGTTCAAGCGGCGCTTCGTCCAGCTGCGCGCTGCGCTGCAGCCGCTGGCCGCGCAGCCGCAGCCGCCGCTGGCCGACCTGCTGGCGCCGCTGCGCCCGTCGCCCGTCCAGCCCATGGACATGGACCAGTCGTGAGGCGCGGCTGTGGTGCGACGTCGGGACCAGTACTATTAAGCCTGTATTATGTAATAAATCGTTTGTTTCAATAAAAATATTGTTTCCGAATACTAACGTGCTTTATTTTAAAACGGGTAGCCGACTTCACATTCGTACGATGTCTATAGTGGTCACTATGTATTCTTTCTCTTGTTTCACTTATATTTAAGACGTACATACGATGAAACATTTTCGAACATTATTAATTTAATCAATTACTGGTTCAATCATTATCCAAATATTGTTTTCAATTCTCATGCTCTAATAGTACGTCAATATAGCCTTACGTAGCGGTAATGAAGTGCGTCCTTTAATCCCTAGGGAGTAAAAAGTACCTACTTTTTTATTTACTTCGAGTGAACAAACTCAAACAGCCAGTAGTACAGTCAAGAGCACATCAAGCTTAATACTGTACTTTGGACCGTTCTTGCCGTAAGCGGCACGGAGTTAAGTGTAAAGCTGGACGTGCTTTTGACCCTGTACGCTCGGTTTTAATTCCGTGACTTTTCCGCGTAGACGGTGGCGTCATATTATGTTTCTGCGTTATGGCGTTTGTTGTATCTGTGTCTGGTTTAGAAAAAAATACTGTCAAAACAAAATAATAAACTTATGCCGCGTTCTCACATTCGTGCGATAGGCGATGCGAATAGCGGTGCGACCTATCTTGTTAATCACCGTACCAAAATTCCGTTTGCTTTTATTTTTATTCCGCGATTTCCTTCCCCGTTTTAAATTCCTATTAATATCCAAAGTTCCACAACAACAACAACAACAACAACAACAACAACAACAACAATTGCAACGACAATGATATCCTGAAGTCTCAAGAAGGAAGAAATTATTGGAAGAATTGCCAAAAATTGGCAACTCAATCGAAATTGCATATGGCCAAAGACGTCATAGTACAGGAAATAAGAAAAAAAAGTAATTTCGCGTCGCCACTCGTATCTAACTTCGCGACGCTACTCGTGCCTAACTTCCATGCCATCTTGAAAGTTTTTGACAGTGACTAGGTTTGTTATGTCATTAGTTTTTGACAGTTTGCCACTTCCAGGATAATAATTTCGGCGCGCTGACCAATAGGATAAGATTTTTCAAAAATTAGCATGCTATTTTAGTCACTGTGGCGGATTACGTATCAGAGGGTATTTATTCAATTAAGGTCTATCAAATTTCGTAAAATTATGAGCTATTATAACCGTCATAAATAAAAATTATTTAAATTGTTAAACCATTTTTTATTTTATAAAGCTGAATGTTTTATCATATTTTACCATGGACCGTGATGATTAATAAGGCTATATAAATTAAATGATATAAAAATGTCACAACTTCAAAATTTATTTCGCGTTTTCCCAAAAAGTGGAAGTTTCGTGTTGGGTCACTTTCATTCTAAAGGTGCAATATGTTAAGCAAAATAATGTTGATAAAACAAAACTACTTCTATACATAATTATGTTACATATATGACCCTGGTATTAGGAACTGAATAGAAGACTGTATTTTGTGTTTGTAGTTTGTTTTCCTAAAGATTTATTTATTTATTTATTTATTTATTCATTGCTTGCTACATGGTTTTCTTAGATCTAAATTTTACATTTTTCCTTATACATATAGCACCCCGGTAGGGCGTTGCAACGTCTGAGAGAGAGCACACTTTACAATATTCCATTTACATATCTATTACATTACATGTCATATTTATTGTCAAAAATTATACATTACTAAAATAGTCAAAATAATAATAGTAATTTAAAAAAAAAAATTGTCATATAATTACCCAATATCAAAAATAAAACTTACATTAAACAAATCAAAACTAGTACAGTATTTGAGTGTTATTTTCTGAGAAAAAATCTTGTAATGTATAAAATGCGTTGTCCAGAAGATATTTTTTGAGGTGGTTTTCAAACTTTTTTATATTTGGTTGACTTTTTATACTATTTGGTACAGCATTAAATATTTGGATTGCCATAGAGTGAGATCCTGTCCTATATAGGCTTAGGGTAGAAAAGGGTAATTTTAGTTTGTTTAAGCCGCGATTATTTCGTTTTAATGGGGGTGGTAATGGGGGAATAAAGTTCAAAATGTTTAAGGACAAATTTACAGCACTCCAAAACATAAATAGAAGTTATTGTCAGAATTTTATGTTTTATAAAATACGGTTTACAAGACACTGTTTGTTCGATGTTAACTAGTATACGAATACACTTTTTTTGAAGAATCATAAGTTCATTTATATTTGTACAGTTTCCCCAAAGCACTATGCCATACGCGAGTCTGGACTGAATATAGGAGTAATATGTAGATAGAGCTGTGTGAAAGTTTGTAACTTTCTTCAAGTTCAGTAAGGCATATATAGAAGATGACAAATTTTTGATTAACTTCTCTACATGCGCTTTCCAGCACAGACTAGTGTCCAGTCGGATTCCGAGAAGAGTAGCTGCTGTTTCAACATTTAGTGCGCAATTTTCGTATTCATAGTGTAATTTTAAAGGTGTTTTTTGGTACGGTCTAAATTGTATCAATGAGGTCTTCTTAAAGTTTAATTTCAGATTATGTGCATTGAGCCAGTTTATAATTTTGTCAAATGTAATGTCAAGTCTATTTTTTAATTCGTTCATTGTCATACAAGGGAATAAAATTGATATATCGTCAGCGAATAGAATACAGTGGTCGTCAATTATTTTGGGAAGATCGTTTATATACACTAGGAATAAAATACATCCCAGGACGCTACCCTGTGGGATGGAGTTTGTCATGCTTATTCGTTCTGAACGCACGTTTTTTACTAATCCAGTTGTAAAGTTAATATTTTCAATCTCTACGTATTGATCCCGGTTCGTGAGATAAGATTTTAACCATTTGTATGCTATACTATATTTGTATTGTAAAGTTTGTTCAAAAGGATTTTATAGTCAACTCTATCATACGCCTTACTCATGTCCAATAATAATCCTACCGCGTATTTCCTTGCGTTTAGTGTATCTAGTATTTCATTTACGTACTTGTATACAGCGAAAATCGTAGAGCGGCCTTTTCGGAAGCCATACTGATTTTTGTCAAAAACGTTGTATTTTTCATAAAAGGAATACATTTTTTTACACATTACTGATTCAAATATTTTAGATGATGTTGGTAATAATGCGATTGGCCGATAATTATTTGTATCTGTCAGTTCGCCATTTTTGTGAATAGGTTTGACGATTGATATTTTTAGGGAATCGGGAAAAATTCCTTCGTTAAGGCTCTGATTTATAAGTTCCGTATAAGGCAATGTTAGACTATCAATACACTTTTTTATTAGGATGGGAGGTATTTCATCAATGCCGAAACTATATTTATTTTTTAATTTTTTAATAACGTTTCGAACTTCACGTGGTTCAACAGGAAATAAATAAATAGAATTTTCGATGGGCTCTGTGACCTTAGTTGTTAATTTTAAATTTTGATTTAATTCTTGTAGGGTTTTTTCCGGTGCGCCAATTTTAGCAAAGTAGTTATTAAATGAATTTGCCACGGTTTTGGGATTTGTAAGACAGGAATTCTGTGTCTTTAGTGTAACATTTTGTTTTATTCGAATATTTTTATTCGTTTCTTTATTAATTATTTGCCATATAGTTTTCATTTTGTTATTTGAGTTCTTTATTTTAAAGATGTTTTTCAGTTTCCGTGCTCTATGAACTACTTTTTTTAAAATTTTTTCATACAATTTGTGGTGTTTATTTAATATTTTACTGTTTATTTGTGATAAATGAATTTTGTCAAGTCTTTTATTCATGCAAGATCTTTTTATTCCTTTTGTAAGCCATGTAACTTTCGGTTTTAACGGGATGATGCTTACAGATACTATCGACATTTGCGATCGTTGTCGAGAATTTTAGACGTTTTCGAGTTGTTTGGGAGTGCTTATTGAGAATGTGGCAATAATTTCTAAATCCAAGACGGTTGCCAAGAATTTACAAAATTTGTTTTTGGTACAGTCAATTCGGGTAACTTTGAATCGTGGTGTAACTTTGAACGTAGTTGCGTAAAAGATTTAAAAATTTATTTTATGTATGGTGATCTTTTATTTTTAGTTTTGAAACTGTGTAAATCGGAACAAAATTGTTAAACGAAAGTTATGAAAGAAAAAAGTAATGTTAATTTGTATTTTTTTAAACTTTCGCGGTTTTTTCTTGGCGAAAGTAGTTTGGTGTGATTTGTTGCTCAGTTTTAAAATCGGAATTAAATATATAAATCTGAATATTGACTGGTAAGTTTTGGTTTCCACACTTAAGTAGAGGTTTATATATCGGTTTTTAAAAAAATAATTTAATTTGGTTTTGTATTTACGCGTAAAACGAATTAGATTATGACGACGTTACCAAACAGAGAAATTTGGGTAACTTTGAATGTGTTTGACTGTGTCTTTAGAGAAGAGGGTAGTCTGTTTCCAGGGAGAGTTCTAAAAGTTACTCCTTTGGAAATTACTGTCTCAGTGTTCCAAAAATGCTTTTTAGGAGGTTGGTCTTGGCCCTCTAACGTTGAGACATGTCAAGTTAATAAAGCCGATATTGTGAATATTATAAAAGAGCAACAGCTATCTAGAAAAGGCGGCCGTATTTATATTGATGACGACATTTTATTCAAGGAGTGGGGTGAATAGATTTTTGTTATGTATTTACTTTGTCTAAAATAATTGTTATAGGTGATTCATTTTGATCTCGTTTGATAGCTAAATAAGCGTAGAATTTATTATTAAACAGAAAATTTTCATTTTTATTCGCATTAATTAAAAAATCTAAAAAAAACAAGTTTTTCATTTCAACTAAATTAGTTCTCGTTTTATTATGGCAATACCAAGTCAAATGTCGTTTTTGAACGCACTGTCAGGAATATTTGGACAGATTCACATCTAGAAAATATGAATATGTCGTATAATCTTACACAAACTATAAAATATCTAGAAAATTTCTAGGTTTCCATATCGAAGGCTAATCTTATTCAAAGTTACCCAAAATTCAAGGCAACTTTGAATGTGACTTTTGGAGCAAATCTAGAACAGTTTTGTTGAATAATTATTAAATTCCTTCTATAAGAACGAAAAAAGGGTTTAAAAGAACACTATTCAGTTAATAAAGTAATTGTTAAGAAACATAATTAAATTTGAAATTATTAGAAAAACGCAAAAAATGTTCAAAGTTACCCGAATAGACTGTAATCCTTATGGAAATGGCATTTATATCTGAATACATGATGGCGGACACG